TTCACTCATGCTCTGTCTCTGTCTCTCTCTCTTTCAAAAATAAATACATATCTTAAAAAATTTAAAAAGTGCAGTCTTTGAGTACTCATGAGATTCAAAATATACTTCCTTATAATATCTCTGATATTGTAGGAGAAAGGGTTTTTTGTTCTTTCTTTAAAGGAAGCCCCACTCTTTGCCTGGATGGTAGTCACTAAACAGCACATCTGGAAATGATAGTCCCTAAATGCAAGTGCAGAATGAGAAGTGAGGAGCCGCAGCCATCATAGCAGGAGGCTGGACAGAGATGATGACGATGTCATGCTGGTGGCATTAGTAAGGCTCTCTCTCCTCTGGTTAAGTGACCTGCTTCCCACTCTCCACAGACAACCCTGCCTCTTAGATGTGCTGATCGAATTGTATAGAGACCATGTACCCCCTTTGAGGCGGACTCATTAGCTTACAAGTAGGATAAAATTTCAGGTACTTCCCAGTTTTTGACTTGACAGTTGAACACCAACTAATGTCACAGTGGAGGTTTGTTTAAGTACGAGATTGCACTTTCTCTCCAAGAAAGACATGATTTGGATTGTTCCTTGTCTCCTGTGCTTTAAATTTGAGTTTTCCTTCTAAAATATGCCTCCTGTGTTCCTAGACAAGGGCATGGTTTTCTTAGCTCAGAACTTTGCCACTCTGCCTGTAATAATGAGCACATTTGTAAGTTGCTGCACTACTTAAATTTAAAAGTCAGTATTTTCATCCTTATAAAACAGGTCCTCTTTTTGCCAGAGCACAAATAAAGTAATGGATAATTGGTATGCCGGTGTGCTTTTGTGACACATGAAGTCAAGGAGAGAAATTTCATTTTGTGTCTTATAAAATAGTCCTCATCTAAATTTCAATAAATTTTTATGTTGATTCATCTCTCATTTATGTCAATGACCAATAATATTATAGCCTTTATACCCTTGCACGGGAAGGAGGGCCCCATAGCTGGACAGCAGAGCAGCCCCTGACAGCTGGTTAGAAATGCAGACTCAAGCACGACACCTGAGGAGTCCAACACTTCATTTAGCAAAGTCTGTCCACTGAATCCTAGGCAATGAGAAAATCGGGAAACCAGGGTACAGGAGGGAAGTACACTTAGCCAAGTCCAACAGGCATCTGTCTGGACCTTATTGTAACTTAGAATGCTTATTACTGATTTAGATTTTAAGATCTTGGTTAATTCTCAGCATTAGTAGTAGTATGGGTATTTAGGAATATCTTGTAGCCATTTGCTTTATAGAGGGTCATATTGAAACAGGTAAGTAACTTTGGTTTTATTAAAAAAAACTGTTCTTTTTTACAAATTTTATAAAGACAAAGATGAGTGCTTGTCAAAATTACCTCTATTTAAAAGACACATAAAGGAATTAGGGAAGACTCTTTATTTGAGAAGACTCTCAAATAAAGGACAGATTTAGAGATTATGATAACAGGGCACATAATCAAGGTTATTTAGTTAAAAAAAAAAAAAAAGATTGCCAGAGGGTAACTTAATTTCTTTGCATGTATAAGGAACGTTTATAAGAAGGTGTTGACAGGGGCGCCTGGGTGGCTTAGTCGGTTAAGCGTCCGACTTTCGCTTAGGTCATGATCTCGCGGTTCGTGGGTTCGAGCCCCGCGTCGGGCTCTGTGCTGACTGCTCAGAGCCTGGAGCCTGTTTCAGATTCTGTGTCTCCCTCTCTCTCTGACCCTCCCCTGCTCACGCTGTCTCTCTCTCCTAGAAATAAATAAAAATATTAAAAAGAAAAAAGAAGGTGTTGACAAGCATGATAACTATTTTTTCCACTAATTACATGGTGCACTAAAGATAGTTTTGGGTACTTAGAAATCATTTACATTTACAGTTTTAGAAATGACGTGATCCTTAAGGTGAGGCTGAAGGACTACTTTTCCTTTGAACTGATTTATTGTTTTTAATAATATAAAAGTTATAACTTATTTGCTGGGGCTTGAAGGACTAGGAAAAGAGTCCATTCCTCATAAGAATGTCAGAACATGTTAAAATTATTCAGTGTCCAGGTACTCATTTAATCATGACAGTAGGTCAAGACTGTCTGACCTGAGCTGTAGCTTTAACCAAGTTTCTCATAGGTACTTAAGCCATCATAGTTGCTCCTAATTACTTAGTAGGCTTAAATTCAGCAGAAATAAAAATACAAATTGATATTATCCTAAAATACTGACTCTTGGAATGCATAGACTTTAGCCTTAATTTGTGAATAGCAGAATCCCCTTTCAGCACATTCCTCAGGTTCTAGAAAACATTTTGAGAATCTTGATGTCTATGGTGGAGCTTGAAAACATGAACTAAACATGAAAATCTTTTTGTTGTGTGTTCCATTGAAAGGGACTTTATCATAAAGTGACTAACTCCATGTCAAATTCTCTTGTAAATATCAAACATTAGCATTCGCTTTTTCCCATAATTGATTCCTCTTTCTCACATTTTGTCCGATGATTGTACCCTTTGAAAATGTAGCATTCTAAAATTTTTTTTCATGCCTCATGATCTTTCTCCTGTTTAACCTGATGCTCTGTTGATAGGTATCTTCTTTAATTAATTTTTTTCATTAGTTTATCACTTTATCATACTCAAGTTTTTCAAATATTTGTATGATTCAAGTATACTTTAAATATTATGTATATTTACATATTCAATTACAGTAGAACAGAGTTGGGTTGAATATAATTTCTTCAACTCATGCGGGTAACTATTTGTTGATCCCAAGTGCTATATCCTGTTTAAAAGAACTCAGTGGTGATGTTACTAACCTTGCTTAAAAAAAATAGGTCTGTTCTTTCTGTGAAGTGCATGTCTTACAGATATGCACAGATTAGAAATCACTTTTGATTTACCTTGAGTCTTGATGCTTCTGAGTCTAGACAGATGCATGCTTATTGCCCACTTTACTCAGATCTTTGCTCCACTGCTTCCTTAATAGGACTTCCTTGAGTACCAAATCTCCAATGTCATTCCAGTTTTGGTTATACCATCAAATATACAGATCAAATATGTTCATGTTCTTAAATGATTAGAGTCATCCTTACTTATTTTATCTGACTCCAGAATCTCTTCTCTGCAAATACTTAGATACGTATATTATTCTCTGAGTTATTCAGGCAAGTGCAGCCAAACTCATGACTGATTTCTTTTTTCAACTAGGAAAGATGTTCCAAATAATCAGCCTTAGGTACCATGAAAACAATGAGCATATTGGTGAACTCTGCATCATAATGTTGGTAAAGAGGAAAAGATCAAAGAGTATCTGATCATTTGGTCATTTCATTAAAGTTTCATCCTTGGGAGCTGGCATTCACATTTCCACAGGGCTGTGAAAAACACTTGTGATAGAAGTAATACTGATATGTTTGTTGTATCTTAAGAGTGTTGGAGAGAAAGCTGCCCATATTTCTAGTTGGGCAGATGCTGTAGAGTCAGGATTGCACACTGGTTCACAAAATGATAGTTGAGAGGGGCGCCTGGGTGGCTTAGTCGGTTAAGCGTCCGACTTTCGCTTAGGTCATGATCTCGTGGTTCGTGGGTTCGAGCCCTGCGTCGGGCTCTGTGCTGACTGCCAGCTCAGAGCCTGGAGCCTGTTTCAGTCTGTGACTCCCTCTCTCTCTGACCCTCCCCTGCTCATGCTGTCTCTCTCTCTCCTATAAATAAATAAAAATATTTTTTAAAAAAATGATAGTTGAGAAAGAAAACATAAATATTAAGTAGAGATGAGCCGGGGAGCTAAATACAAATACTCTCAATTGCTTGAAACTCTAAATGCATATAACTCGAGCTGTTTAAGAGTTTTCTGTATGATAATTTAACTAGAATATATTAAAACTGATACTGGGGCTTATTCAGAAATTCACTCAACATTTCAATAAAAAGTCAACAGACTGAATTTTCGGCACGTCATGATTCAAGTTAATTGAAACATTTGTTTAAAAGTAAAAACACTTATTAAAAGTTTGGATCACCAGTGATTTATAATTATAGGCAAACATAAATTTTGTCTTAATAATGTTGCCAATACCTTCACTATTTTATTGACGTGCCTTTCTTTTGACATTTACAGAATTCATTATTCCTTCTTTTATTAATTCTTTTAATAGTTACAATGATCAGATCTAAAAGATAAGATTTTAGAATTTGAAGGCCTTTCCAGGTGATCTGCTAAAGCTCCCCTTCCCCCCATCAAAGAAGAAACCTGAAGCTCAGAGGAGATAATTGAATCAGTTGTGACCATCGATGCTTTCCAGAGGCATGACTTGGATTAGACCTGACTTTCTAAAATTGGATTGAAAAGTGGAAATTTTTTTAATCAACTTTTTATCCAATAGGCCAAGGAAACCATAAACCAGCAGTGTTGGGCAGCAGCAACATCAATTTGAGGACTAGAGTGTTGAAGGCCCACAGTGCTATTAACAGAGATATTTATAGCATCTCTAACTGTGCACGGGTGACCACCCTGTCTGGTTTTCCCTGGACAGGGATTAATAATAGCAATTAGAATCCTGTTCACAATGTTTGCAAAAAATCTTGAATTACCTAGAAATACTTTCAGTAATGTATGTTGGATCTGCATTGTAGAAAAAAGAATATGAGGTATAAGTAGAAGAGCTGAAGTGGAGATACAGAAATGAATGTGAAATTAACAACTTCTTGAAATGAAAAGGTGACTCATGTGTAGATATTACTTTGTCCAAAATTTATTGGCAGATGTAATTTTAATTAGATACACAACAAAGTTCCAAATTTCAACAGGAAGTGTGGAAAAAGCATGACAGGATATAGCAGCTTACTTTTTTTGGTATAAATTGGAAATGATTAGACACCACAGAGAAAAGTGTGTTTGGTTGTTTGGGTTTGAAGTAGGACTCTGACTCGTGGTTGCTGTGTGATTTGGGGCACCTTGCTTAAAACTCTCAGCCTCATTTCCTCTATTGTATAATGAAAACTATTGAAACTAAAACCAGTGCTCACTTTGGCAGCACATAGAGTAAAAATGGAACAATTAAGAGAAGACACACATGGTCCCTATGCAAAAATGACATGCAAATTCGTGAAGTGTTGCATATTTTTAAATCTTTAAAACTAAAACCATAGGCTTGGTGAAGATTAAATGAATTAATGAATGTAAAGTGTTTATCCTGGCTAAACAGTTGTGATTCTCAATATAAACTGGCTGGTAGTTTTTATTAGTAATATTAAAATAAGAAGTTGGTGAAATAAGGGAAATAGTAAAGGCATAAAAAAATCTAGAAATTAATTGCATATATTCATTATAAATAAAAATAAGACAATTCACAAGATTATGTGAAAATTAATATAAGAAAAAGTTTTACATTGTTAGCCATCAAGAAAATTCAAGTAATTAAAAGAATGAAATAATCTTTGTGCTTAGGATTTTGCAAATAAAAATGAATGTATTGATGAAAGTGGAGTGAGACTTTTATAGACATCCTACAAATGAGCACAAAATTTCTGGAAGTTAATTTGGCAATAGCTAAAGAACTTGAAAATCATTCTTAACTGAGAATATTATGTGCATATGTGTTTGGATAAATGTTATCAGCTATTTCTCTAAGTTTTAGGATAACCATTTTGTTGCCTTATAATATTTCCAGTTTCTAAATTTCCTGTGAAAATAAGAAAATCAAAATAAATATATTTAATAGGAATAAAACTTAACCAAGATTTTGAAGATCACACCCTCCTTTCACTTTGCTTTTATTTTCCTTCATCGCCCTCTGGTGTCCAAAATGTGTATAGCTTCTCATACTATGTAAAGGCTTGATACACAAAATCATATTGTTTATTTAATTTAGATAATTTATCTAAATTAATAATCCTGTATAATATAATTTGCTACATAAATTATTTATTATACTTAGAGTATATAAATAAGTTAACTCGTATTTTATAATTACAAGAGTTACCCATATTTCAAAGTAGCCTGGTCTGGATTTGAGGTGGGTTTTTTGTTGTTTATTTATTTTGAGAGAGAGAGAATGAGTGCAAGTGGGGTGGGGGCAGGAGGAGAGAGGGGCAGGGGAGAGAGAATCCCAAGCTGACTTCACGCTCAGTGTGGAGCCTGATGCGGGGCTTGATCACACAACTGTTAAGGTCATAACCTGAGCTAAAACCAAGACTTAGACACTTATCCGACTGAGCCACCAAGGTGCCCCTAATATTTACTATTTCTAGAGGAAAACTACTTGAGCCCAATAACTATTTCAAAGGTAGACCTGGTGTGCTGTGAAGATGTGTTCTAATACCCCACAAGGGTACCATTTGTAGGCAAGTTTGCTTTCCAGGAACTTGATGCTTCTTTGACTTACAATGTGTTTCAAGGAAATGCCAACATTTTGTCATCTTTATCCAGAGTGGATTCAGTGAACAGCAGAGTTCCATCTCTCAGGAATATTTTGTGAAATGATTTCGTACTTAGCAAAGTACATGAGAACAAAAATACTGTCTTTATAAAACCAAGAGTTTAAATTACTTCATTTGAGAAGTTAGTAATTTATTTCGGCTCGGAAAGTATCTTTTACTTTGATGTGTGTACTTGACTATGATATTTAATAGGAAGGTTCTTTGAAAGCAGTGAAATTTACTGTTGATGGTTATCTCAGAGACTGTTTCAAATATTAAGTTAATGTTTGAAGAATACCTATATTGTCCTGTTAGTGAACTTAATTTAAAACTCACTAAAACTGGTATTGTTTATCATTAATCTAGGAATCTGTTCTGATTGGAGAATTGACCACACTAGTGTTTATACTGAAATTATTTTTAAAGGATAGAGTTGCACTTGATTTAACATCTACTTTGTGTTAGGCTCTATGATACATGTTTTAGGCACATCTTCGTTTGGGTATCTGAATAGTGTCTATTTGGACAGAATATTTATATTTATGAATATGCAAATCTAAGAACATATTGTAGAGCTAAAATATAATTTCTACAATTAGAAATCTATAACTTGGATTTTTAAATGTTCATTTTTGAGAGAAAATGTGAGCAGGGAGGAGCAGAAAGAGGAAGACAGAGGATCCAAAGTGGGCTCCATGCTGACAGCGGAGAGTCCAATGTGGGGCTCAAACTCACAAACCACGAGATCATGACCTAAGCTGAAGTAGGCCACTTAACTGACTGAGCCACCCAGGCACTCCTATAACTTGATTTTGATCAACATTTAACACTGTCTTCTAATGGAACTCCATAGTTATACTCATTAAATATTTATAGCATACTATCATCGCCAAGTACTGATTGAAATGGTGGGATGGCTATTTTCTTTGACTATGTGAGCTTCTAATCCAAAGGAACAGTCTATCAGGATATCATACAAAGAAATAGGATATTTTAAGTGTGTTGTGTTCTGGAAAGAAGAGATCCATCTAACCCTAGGAGAGGTTACAATGAGGTGGTTTGATCTAGTCAGGGAAGGTCAGGAAAGCTGTTTGTAAAGAACAACTGTTGAGGTAAGTGCAACAGCCAAATGAGGAAGAGAAGAAAAGTGTTGCAGGCAGAGGAACAGATTATAGATAGGAAGGAGGAGAGGAAAGAATGTTCATTTGTTGGAACAGAGATACAAAGTCCCACTGGATTTATACCCCATACGCTCCCTGTGACCCACTTGTCTTTCTCGGCATGCTAGCAGCGGTGTTCTCAGCGATTCTAATAAGCAACTTACTCAGCTGAATTTTCTGGAATTGAGAAAGGAATCAGTGTGACGTTAGTTTGGATTTTGGACTCTGTAGGATTTGTTAAATATACATTTTTTTAAAAAGCGTTTTCTTAATAGATGACAAAAGCTGGCCTCCTTAAATCCATTTTTGTTCACAATATACAATTTCGAAGCTTTGTAATACTGTATTATTGAACTTTGCCCTAAGGCTTTAATATATGTATATGATTTATGTATGAAACATGTGGCTTATAAATTGAAGTCCAGGCACATGTTACCAAAGACTGCAGTTTCAGCTTGTGAAAATAAACCTACTCTTTTTGTCTGTTCTGAAAGCAGATGAGTGTAAGGTGTCTGAAATATACACTTGGCTAATTTAGAACTTTTAAACTTTCTCATCCCTTTCCTAGGAAAGTAAGATTTGCTATGGGGACTTACACTTTGTAAGCTATTCATTTCTCTGAATTATTTATGAATTTTATTATGAGTATAATCATAGACTTTCTGTTGCACACCACTGAATTTGTATTTAATGAATTGAATTTACATTTAATCAGTTTGTTAAAGTGACTTAATGAGATGCTTCGTTCTTCTGTGTTAAAAGCAGTTCAAGGCCAACCGAAAGACTCAGGGCAGTACGTTATTTAGTGTTCACTTTCTGCATAACTTGTAATTTTTTCATGATTCATCATTTAACTAAATCAGTTAATAACATTCCTATAACCATTTATAATAATTCCATAAAGTCAGACATTTTACTGTTAATGTACTGGCAAACTTTTTTTTTGTTTTTTAACTTTCTAACGTGGGAATTCTCACATTCATTTATTTTCAAAAAAGAATGTGCAGGGTAAGATTGTGTCACGTTATCAAAGAATGGAATAAAAGAGGCAGTAGAATTTGGATCTGAAGATACTAAGTTTTCAACATTTGCATTTATGGAAAACAGCAAAGAAATATATTGGAGCTTTCCCCTCATATATATGGTGTGCCTGAAAGTATTGTTCAAAGTAAAAATGAGAAAGAACTCAAAATATTTATCTGTGCAGGACACTTTCCTTCTTGTTTTATCTCCACTCTCTCCGAACCTTTCATCTCCTCCTTACTTTATCTTTCTTTTAATGTTTATTTATTTTTGAGGTGGGGGAGGGGAGAGAGAGACACAGAGAGAGAGAGAGACAGAGAGAGAGAGAAAGAACATGAGCAGGGGAGGGGCTGAGAGAAAGGAAGACAGAGGCTGAGGCAGGCTCCAGGCTGCGCTGTGCGCACCTGGGCCTGACCTGGGGCTAGAAATCAAGAAACAGGAGATCAGGACCTAAGCTGAAGTCTGCCGCTTAACCAACAGTGCTACCCAGGAGTGCCCTCCCTTTCTTTATCCTGATTGCTTTGCTGTTCGGGGTCTTTACTTGTTCCATACAAATTTTAGAATTATTTGTTCTAGCTCAATGAAGAATGCTGGTAGGGATTATATTGAATACGTAGATTGCTTTGGGTAGTATCAGCATTTTAACAGTAATTTTTCTTCCAATCCATGAGCATGGAATGCTTTTCCATTTTTTGTGTGCCGTTTTCAATGTCTTTCATAAGCTTTCTATAGTTTTCAGCGTATAGATTTTTCACCTCTTTGGTTAGGTTTATTCCTAGGTATTTTATGGGTTTTGGTGCAATTGTAAATGGTATCGATTCCTTGATTTCTCTTTCTGTTATATCATTAGTATCGTGTCATGTGTGAAGAGTGAAAATTTGACTTCTTCCTTGCCGATTTGGATGAAACTCATTTCTTTGTGTTGCGTGATTGCTGAGTATAGGACTTCCAACAATATGTTGCCTAACAGTGGTGAGAGTGGACATCCCTGTGATGTTCCTGACCTTCAGGGGAAAGCTCTCAGTTTTTCATCATGAAGAATGATATTAGCAATGGGTCTTTCATATATGGCTTTTATGATCATGATGTATGATCCTTTTAACCCTACTTTCTTAAGGGTTTTTATAAAGAAATATCTTGCTTTTTGTCAGATGCTTTCTCTGCATCTATTGAAAGGACCATGTGGTTCTTGTCCTTTCTTTTATTGATGTGATGAATCACATTGATTGATTTATGGATATTGAACCAGTCCTACATCCCAGATATAAATTCCACTTAATTGTGGTGAATAATTCTTTTAATGTATTGTTGGATCCATTTGGCAAGTATCTTGTTGAGAACTTTTGCATCCATAGTTGTCAGGGAAATTGACCTTTGGTTCTCCTTTTTAGTGGGGCCTTTGTCTAGCTTGGGAATAATTGTATATGAGGTTTTAAGCCAAATTTCTATGCTTAAGCTATCATCTTTTTTTTTTTTTTTTTTTTAATCTTTAGCCAAAGATTTCTTTTGAGCCTCACACTTTGA